GGAGTTTAGGGCTGTTGTACACAGGGTTGCTATGAGTTGCAGACGACTCGACGGCACATAACAATAACAACAACACATGCTGCAGGGTTCTGAATTTCTTAGATCTAGCTGTGTATTCAAAGGATAAATCAGACCAGAAAATAATACACACATGGGGAAACTGGGCTTGGGATAAAGATAATGGGATAAGAATATCCCAGCAAAAATGAAGGCTATAGTACATAAAATAGTTGACTAGGGTGTCTAAGCCAGGACAGAGGTGTGCAAGGCCAAAGGGACTGAGTGCCATGGGCTGCATCACATATGGGGCTGAAAATGAAGGTAGAAAGAACAATCTTCTATGTATATGTAGAAACAGAAAATATTGCAGAAAAATTCTGATCTGCTTTGCATATAAAATAGTAAAGCTATCCTTTATAGAAAGATGCCTTGGTGGCATAATGGTTACGTGCTCAGCTGCTGACTGAAAGGTGGAAGGTTTGAGTCCACCCAGGGAGACATCTCTGAAGAATGGTCTAGTAAATGACTTAAAAAAAATCATTGAAAATTCTCTAAGCAGGTCAAAACCTGGTTTCACCAAGACACTTGGATGACTATGGGAAATGGTTTAAAGCTCATGAACAAGAACAAAGAGATGTACATTAACAGAATGGTTGAATGAATACCTGAAGGATCTGGTCTCCAGCGAGCAGTCTTCCATCTCTGGCGATCACTCCATCTCGGTACACTTCCTGGATGACAATGTTAATCAGTGGTGTTTCATTGCCACCCACAATGCTAATTCCTAACTGAATATAGGGGTTAGACCGGTGGATTTCAATTGTGGTGATTTCTCCTTCTGGTAATGGCTGTTGTACAGCTGCCAAATTAAAAATGAGAGAAAACAGATGGAAGGAAAAAATGTTTTAGATTTTATTATCTTCGGTAAACAATTATGCTAATGTATGATTAAAAACTAAGAAATATCCTAGATAAGAAACAGGAAGACCAAAATCAAATGAACATTCCACGCTATAATTGGCTAAAATTCTCCTCTTCCAAAAGTGACCAGCAAATAATAAAAAGCTACTATACTTTGGATCCCCAGGAATTTGATGATCTGAACAGAAACACTAGAGAAAGTTATCTTGTTGCCAAAGACATTGGGCTATGAAACAACTGTAAACAAATAGTTGGAGGCAAGGTAACAGCACACTAACTGTGGTACAAACCTTAGCCCATGGGTTTAGGGAGAGCAGTCATACCCAGCACCCAACAAGGCTTTCTCTGAGTCTTAGAATATAGAAAAGTTTTATTAGACCTCTGACGGGGGGAATTTAGCTTTTGAGCAGAATTTAAAATTTGCAAAATAAAATTATTTTGAAGTCAACATCACCAATATGCATACTCACGAATTATGATGCCAGGTTTTCTGATTTCTTACTGAGTGACTGTATTTTAATACAAATAGTCCAAGCACTAAATGGTTTTTGCCAACTGCACAACCCCTCCACATATTTGCTTCTGGTGTTTTCTCCCCTGTTGTTGTTATTGTATGTGCCATCAAGTCACTAGAGACTCATAGCAACCCCATGTATGACAGCTCTGTACCCTGCCCTATCCTGAGCCCATCTCACTGTCTCCAACAGACCTAACCCATTTCTCCAGCCAGTGAGTAAATCTATCTCATCCTGGGTCTTCCTCTCCTGTGCCGTACCTCTACTCTTCCAAGCACACTGTCCTTCTCCAAGGACTAGTCCCTCCAGGCCAAGTGCCTAAAGTATGAGAAAAAGCTTCAAAAGCCTTGCTTTCAAGGACAAACTTGGTTTTATCTTCTCCAAGACAGACCTATTTCTTCTCCTGGCAGTCCATGGTATATTTAATACTCTTCTTCAGAATCACAGCTAACAGGCATCAATTCTATGATCATTAGACATTGTCCACCTCTCTGATGACTGTGAAGCCAATGGCTTGGATCAGGCACACCTTAGTCTCCAGACTGACATCCTTGCTCTTCAATACTATGAAGAGGTACCTGACAGCAAAATTTTCCAATGCAATTCATCTTTTGCTTTCCTAACTTCTGGTGCCAAGATATATATGCACATGTTATTTCTGTGTAAAAGTTATTAAAAAGAAAATACTGTACACAGCCCTAGTGGTACCATGGTTAAAATACTCAGTTGCCAAAGAGTGGCAAGTCAAACCCATTATCAAAGGGAGAAAGATACTGCAACTTGCTTCCACAAACATTACTTTACATAACTAACATACATACATACATACATACATAACATAACATAACATAAACATTACAGCCTCTGTCTGACAGGGTGGGTATGAGTAAGCAAACAGTAGAATCTGGTTTCAAAAGAGTGTTGCAGTCAGATGCATGACCTTGGAGTTAGCTATAAACCCCATCACTTACTAGCTGAGTAAGCTTGACAAGTTATTGGAAGTTTCTTATCATATGGCGACAAGGATTACAAATCAGTCATCATATGCAAACTGCTCCACACAGTACTTGGCCCAGAGAAAGCACTTCATCTAAGCTACTCTCTGGGTTGTTCCTGATGTTTTCTAGTTTTATGCCAAGAAGTAAACAAGTGTCTGAACACACACAACCCCTGCCCTCCCACACTAACAACTAGTGGACTGTGTCAGAAAAAGACTAGAGAAGGGCCACTTTGCTCTAGTGGAGGAGCTAAGACATGGGTAAATTTTGTGCTAGATAAATTATACCACAATGAAGCTGTATATTTTCTTTTTCTTCCTTAAAAATAAGAAATATAAAGTATAAGCTGAGAGAATAGGAAAGCAAGCGATCAGCCTACAAATATCCTAGTCAGAAAACAGATCAAGTGCATGAACAGGAGGTCATGGTCACGTACTATCAGCTGCAGTGCCCTCCTCAAAGGCAGGGTTGTCGAAGCCAGGCTCCTCCGTCCAGGCAGCGAGAGTCTCGGGCGTCAGGTTACGCTCTGCTGGCACAGTTCCTGGCCCCAAACAGTCGGCCTCTGGTGACACAGTTCCTGGAGGGTCCAAGATGGTAGGTCCATTTTCACTCTCAATCTCTGTCTGTGTTTTACTAGTTTTCCTTTTCTCTAGGGCAACTCTCCGATGAGAAGCTCCAGGACACCTGGAAAGAGAATAGCAGGTGGCTTTCAGATGGTTTGAAAGGACAAAAAAAAAAAGAGAGAGAAAAGAAAAAAGACTTAATAGCTTAAAAATGTGTACAACACCAACAAACTTCTATGCAAAAAAGCACCTTACATATCCAATAAGTATAGAAATCTGAACTTAATCTCTACTTGAATTGAATTCTTACCAGTACACAAAGATAACATTTTTTAAGACAAAAAGCATAGGTGAATGTTCATTAAAATTATTAAAATAAGAAAAAATTTTTAAAAAATGAAAAAAATGTGTATATATATATACAAGTATATATACCTCAAAGAATTCTTCAATAAAAAATAGTATACAGAAGTGACTAAAACAATGGAATATACACACACCCCAAGAGTTGTTTCTGCACAGCAAGAGTTAAGTCTTACATTCTGATTACACAACCCTTTACAGGACGGAGAATGAACAGTCTTAGCTCTTCTGTGGTCCATGCCACCCACAGTGGTCAAGTTGATTCCAATTTATGGCAAACATTCAGCAGGTTTCTGAGCCTTATAAATACTTATAAGAAGCAACTGCCTATCTTTCTCCTGAGGTGAGGCTGGAGGATTTGAACTGCTGGCATTTCTGTTAGTAACATAACACATAATACTAGATAACCTCAGTGCTCCTGCCATATTATCTATTCATTCACCATTGGGTTGTGACATTATCTGCAGCTTCAAGTTACAACAAGGCACATACCCAAATAATTTACTGTGTGGTAGACATACAAAGATCATAACAAAATTACATCATTTGTGAAATGAAAATTTTAACAGCGGAATTACAGATATGACATGTAAGCTTGAGCACATTTATCAGAACTACTTGGGGCGCTGACATAGTCACTGGTGTTGAGGTGATCTGGATTCCCAGTAAATTCCCAGTAAGGCAAAGGAGACAGCAGAACTGCCCCATGTGGTTTCCAAGGCTGGAATCTTCATGGGCGTAGACGGCCTCACCTTTCTCACACGTAGCAGCTAATGTGTTCAAAATGCTGACCTTCTGGTTAGCAATCAAGTGTTTTAACCACAGTACCACCAGGAATTCTGGGGCACGTAGATAAATACCAAGAAATAACGATTAATTTGCTTGTATAGGTTTCTATGGAGCTCTGATAGCCTAGTGGCAAGAAGTTGCAATGCAATCCTGAAGGCACGCGGCTCAAGGCCACCAGCTGCTCCATGGGAGGATGGGCAACCACCTCCACCTCTGAAAATCTGCCGGGAGGGTCAGCTACGGGTCGGTTCTGACTCAACAGTACACAATAACAACAACAACATAGGCTGAAAAGGAAAAGAAGGAGCATTGGTAGTAGAATGGCTTAAGCACGAGGCTGTTAATCAAAAGGTTGGCTACTAGAGGAAAAAGATGAGGCTTTTGGCTCCTGAAAGGACTACAGTCTTAGAGATATGAAGGAGACATTCCAATCTGCCCTGCAGAGTTGATGGGATAATGGGAGTCATAACTGACTTGACAGCAGGGAATTCAGGGGAAAAGTGGGTTGGGATAGACCATACTAATCTTATGTATCTGGGACTGGATGGTTGAATTTTACAGTACGGGACACCAATGGGCCAACTGGCAGCATCAGTATGGATGGTGAAGAGACTGAGATAGTTAACAGTTTTAGTTTACTTGGCTCCACAGTCAACACTCTTGGTAACAGCAGCCAGGAAATCAAGAGATGAATCACACTGGGAAAGTCAGCTGTCAGGGACCTCTCAAGAGTACTGAAGAGCAACAACGTCAGGCTGGAGACTAAGGTGCACCTGATCAAGGCTATATATAGTCTTTGCAATTATGTGCTATGCATCCGAGAGTTGGACAGTGAATTGGGATGATAGAGCTGTGGTGCTGGAGAAGAGTGTTGAATATATCATGGACTGCTAGGAGAACAAACTGGAGAGGGCAAAGTGAGAATGCTCCTTGGAGTCAAGGGTTCTGAAGCTTCATGTGACATACTTTGGGCATGCTACAAGGAGGGACTGGTCCTTGGAGAGGGACATCATATTTGGGAGCATGCAGGGACAGCGTAGGAGAGGAAGAACCTCTATGAGATGGATCAATTTTGTGATTGGGGTGGTGGGAATGAGTGCATCGGAGACGGCAAGACTGGCACAGGACAGAGCAGCATTTAGGGCTCTTGTACACAGGGTTGCTATGAGTTGCAAGCAACTCGACGGCACATAACAACAACATTAAAAAGAGAAAACTCTTAGAGAACAACAGATCAGAACAGACTCACACAGAGAAAAATTTATGATCACAGATAATTCAGTGCTGTTCATCTGGAAACATTTAAAACAAAGAGAAAAGAAGAAAAGGTCAACTGTGTTGAGTGCCCAAATTGTACTGACCATTGACTAGCCAAAACCCACGTCCATTCTGACTCCTAGTGACCCTCCATCATGTTTCCCAGGCTCTAAATTTTTCTTTGCAAGAGGAAAAGGCTCATTTTTCTCATAAGAGTGGCTAGTAGATTCAAATCAAGACTTTTTGGTTAGGAGCCCAATGTGGAACTTGACCAGACCTCCTTAGTCTTGTATAAACACTCATATGTATGTTTTTCATTTCATCCTCACTTACTACTCACAACTACTCTATTCTTCCATTTTTACTAATGGGAAACTTAAGATGCATTGAACTAAGTTGATTATAGTGCAGGGGCAAAATTCAAGACAACTCAGATCTGATTTTAAAGGTTCCCCTGTGCCTTCCTCTAATTGAACCTAAATTCGTAAACATGATTTTTTTTCTGTTTCAAAAAAATGTAAATTTCTTTTTTTTCCACTAACTTGTTTCTAGAAATATAATCCTAGAAAGTTAGGAGCTAGAAGGACCTATAAGACAAATCACAATTGGCACCTGGGAAGTGTAGCAGGAGGCTAGTAAAGAGGATACTAAAAGTGAATAAGGGAGAGCAAGTGGCCTAGTGGGTAAGAAGTTTCACTGTCATCCAAAACTGTTCAAATCCACCCGCTGCTTCCAGGAGATAGATGGGCAATCTCCTCTTGTGCTATTTACAGCCTCTGAAATCATGCTAAAGGGTCAGTTAGGAGTTAGTTCTAATTTGATGGCAATGAACTTGAGTTTGAAAAGTGAATAAAAATGAAGAGGAATTCATCAAATATCTTAATCAGACCAGAAGAGGCCTGTGCAAGACCCTGCAGATGGAGGTGAGGTTTGAGACAGTGGGCAGTCATTACAAAGGGCAGCAGAGGCAGAGTTTATTGCTAAAGGCTGAGACCTGTGTCTCTCTAAGGAGGGAGCCCCAGATGCATGCATGACTTTAATTTACAAAAATAAAACTAAAGGGCTCTTGCAACAGCTAAGACTCAAGCTGTGGGATTGTTTTCTCTCATAAACGGCTATACTGTATTTTCACACAAATAATGGTGTGTTTTTGCAAATGGCAATGACCGCTAGCATTTCCCATGCATCCAGTGTGAGTGTGTACATTATTTATGTGGGCATGTTAAATGTGGGAAAATAAAAGTCATTCCATTCTTGTTATTTTAGCTGTCCTCATGGCAGGGCAATTATATATAAACAAACATGATTTATCCTATCCCGACAGCATCCTTAATGTTTTTCAACTGTGTATGAATTAATTCCCATCTCGTATGTATGTTATACTAGAACATACTATGTTATTATTAGTCTGGTCACAGTGGCGTTAGTAGAAGTAAAATAAATAATGTATGTCAAGTGTCAGCATAAAGTCAACCTTAATGAAACCTAAAGAATGTTTCATCTCAGAATAAAAAAAATAGCTAAAAATTAAACTGCTTGCACCACTAAAGGACAGTTGTTGTTATAGACCATTGAGTCAGAACCGACCCATAGTTGACCCTCTACCCGGTTTTCAGAGGCAGTTAATTGCACGAGAGGAGACTGCCCATCTTTCTCCCGTGGAGCAGCTTGTGGCCTAGAATGGCATGCCTTCGGGAGTTCAGTGCAGCTTCCTGCCACTAGGTCATCAGAATACCCTATGAAGAGACCGTTGTTGTTTGTATGTGCCATCAAGTCACCTGCAACTCATAGTGACCCTATGTATAACACTTCTAAACCCTGCTCTATCCTGTGCCAATATTATTGTCTCTGATACACCTACTCTCATTACCCCAGTCACTAAATTAATCCATCTCATCAAGGGTCTTCCACCCTCCCAAGCATGACGTCTCTCTCCAAGGACTGATCCTGCCTTGCAGCATGTCCAGAGTCGAAGCTTCAGAATCCGTGCCTCCAAGGAGCAGCCTGGCTTCACCCTCTCCAGCACAAATCTGTCTGTTCTCTTTGCAGTCCACGGTATGTTCAATACTCTTCTCCAGCACCACAGTTCAAAGGCATCAATTCTTCTTCTAGCATCTCTAGTCACTGTCCAATGACTTTCCAATGCATAACAAGTAACTGCAAAGACCATGGCCTGAATCAGGCATACCTTAGTCTCCAGACTGACATCATTGCTCTTCAGTACTTTGGAGAGGTCTCTGGCAGCAGACTTTCCCAACAGAACTCGTCTTTTAATTTCTTGGCTGCTGGTACCAAGAGTGTTGATTGTAAAGCCAAGCAAACGGAAGCTGTTAACAATCTCAATCTCTTCACAATCTATCATGATGTTTCCAAGTGTCCCAGTGGTGAGAATCTTTGTTTTCTTGATACTGAGCTTCAATCCATATTGAAGGTTATAGTGCTTGACCTTCTGCAGCAAGCACTTCAGGTCCTTCTCAGTTTCAGCAAGCAGGGCTCTGTCATCTGCATAATGCAGGTTGTTGACTGGTGGCATACCAACTGACATATTTCAACAAACAGACATTGACCTGGATGTGCTCACCAAGTTGTGCCAAGAAATCTGGAGGACAACCACCTGGCCAACTGATTGCAAGAGATCTGTATTTGTTTCCACTCCAAAGAAAGGTGACCTGACAGAGTATAAAATTATCGAACAATATCACTGATCACACA